GCTCTCTTCCTCCTGTTGCCTGCCTAATTCCAAATGTCCTTTGGCTTATAGTTTACCTGTCACTGTCTTCATGAAACCTCTGGCTACCACAAAAGACAGATTAAGAGTCTTTCCTGTAGGGGGCCGGGCCGGCCCGTGGCTCACTCGGGAGAGTGCGGTGCTGATAACACCAAGGCCCCGGGTTCGGATCCCACATAGGGATGGCCGGTTCGCTCACTGGCTGAGCGTGGTGCTGACAACACCAAGTCAAGGGTTAAGATCCCCTTACCGGTCATCTTTTAAAAAAAAAAAGAGTCTTTCCTGTATACTACCAAGATGTCCTGTACTTACCTCCTAGTACTTATGATGCCACCATCACAGCATCAAAACACATCATCTCTCTTATAGATCACTGCAATAACCTCCTAACTGTTCCCCATTGCCTCACTTCTAAACTTACTTCTGAAAGGTTCAGGGAGAAAAAAAAACATACATACACAACACACAGACAGGCACATGTATACAGATATATACCCACATACACGTGTAGAAATGACCAAATATGGCAAAATGTTAATAGTCAATCTAGATGAAAGGTATATGGGAGATCATTGCACTTTCAACTTTTCTATATGTTTGAAATAAAAAGCTGGGGTGGAAAAAGAATTAAGACAAATTCTACTTTCCTCATGAAAATCTTTAAGCTTTTTATGTGACTTCTATAGTGAAAAATTTACTAAAAATCAGGTTAGAGCAAAACAGGTTGGTAAGGAAGTCTACAAGTTTGTGGGAGTCACTTTAGTGCTGTCATAAGGACTCAAAAAACTACACAAGTATCTAAAAGAAAGAAATCTGAAGCAGTAAATCTTGAAAATGACATAGAATTTCTCATATAGCTGGAAATTTGCTGAATTTGGGAGAAAATTTTGGAATTAAAATTTTGAGGTTGATTTGCATTTTCAATTTTACTTACTTCCCATGCCAAGGTAAAAGTTTATTATAGAAGGGCCGGCCCCGTGGCTCACTCGGGAGAGTGCGGTGCTGATAACACCAAGGCCATGGGTTCGGATCCTATATAGGGATGGTCGGTACGCTCGCTGGCTGAGCATGGTACAAACAACACCAAGCCAAGGGTTAAGATCCCCTTACCGGTCATCTTTAAAAAAAAAAAAAAAAGTTTATGATAGAAAAAGAAACTTATTTATAGTCTGGTAAAAATGTCAACACATTTTGTGTGAGGGTTAACACAGATGAAAAGTGTCTTTGTGGCCAGAAGGGTCAACTTTAATCCTTAATGAGGGTGCTGTCCCCTACATACTCCTGCTAATGGATATGTGGGCAATGCTCCCATGAGCAGCTTGCTTATTCCTTTAACTATAGTTGATTGCTTTCTTCTAGCCACTTCAGAGTGGGAAAATGCTGTAATTTCTCATAACTCCAGGCCTTGGTAACTGCTATACTCATTGATAGAACACGTTTCCTTGCTTGATCTGTGTGGTGAATTTCCACTCATTTTTACATCACAGCCTTAGCTTTACCTTTTGTATGGAGGCTTTTCTTTCTTTTCCAGGCAGACTATGGTACTTTTTCCCCCACTCCCACAGTTCCTTCTCCGTACCTTCATTAGAGCACTTACTCCATTACATAGTAACTGTTTTCAGGTCTATCTACTCCTATACTTGTAAGCTTCTTAAGGCAAGGACTATCATAGTTTCTAGACACATAGCAGGTGCTCAGTATGAACTGGAAGGATGCATAAACTGGATGAATCAGAGAACAGGGAAAAACTGGGGACAAGCTTAGTGATGGGCAGCCACAAAGCACAGTAACATGTCCTATTTGCCCATCTCTGGCTAACAATTCTAGTTCTCTGGAAATGGCATCTTCCTTTTGTACTATAAAATTTGCTTTCTTCCTGCCACTCAGAATAATGAAATTACCATGGTAATGTAGATTTGCTACCTAAATTATGCTGTCATAAGTATTCACACATGGTGTGTACTGTAATACACAAAGGAGATGGTTTAGCAAAGAGATGAAGAATGTTGGCTCTGGAATCAGATTGCCTGGGTCCAAATTCTAGCTCTGCCACTTACTAGGTGTGAGATCTTCAGCAAGTTTCTCTGAGCCTCAGTTTCCTCTGCTGTAAAATAAGGACAATTATAGTACCTGTCTCATAAAGTAGTTGTTACCACTGCATAAGATAAAGTACACAAAGCATTCAAGTTAGCACTGAGCACACCATTAAATGTTATTTATTACCATAATATGCTAAAAAAGTTCACAGGTCTCATATGTTATATGCACATACTATGTGTGCATGGTTTAATGCATTTTCACATAAACCAATGATTCTCAACAGGAGGCGATTTTGGCCCCAAGGTGACATTTGGCAATGTCTGGAGACATTTTTGGTGTCAACATTGGGAGAGAGGTGCTACTGGTGTCTAGTGGGTCAGGCTAGGAATGCTTGCAAACATCCTACAATGCACAGAACACACATACACAAAGAATCATCAGGACCCAAAATGTCAACAGCGCGGAGGTTGATATAAACAATGTATACTGGAACATATTTCGTAGGATGCAGTCACAAGCTAAACATATGCATATAACATGTGGTCATTTTATACCCATATATAGTCCATATACCTACACATGTCCAGGATGTACTGTGACACACCTTACATATCACTATGGCATATACCTAGAATAGTATCCTGTTGTGTGTGTGTGCCATATATGCATTGATTATGGCTGTCCTTATCTTTTTTTTTTTTTTTTTTGGTAGTTGGCTGGTGGGGGGATCCGAACCCTTGACCTTGGTGTTATCAGCACAACACTCTAACCAAATGAGCTAACTGCCCGGCCAGGCTGTCATTTTCTACATGCTAAGGGCAGTCTCACATACTGGAAAGAATACTAATGTACCTCTACACATATCATTTCATTTTATCCTCACAATCCTATGAAGATATTATCCCAACTTTATGCAATGACTAGCTCAAGATCGCACAACTGACGGCCGGCCGGTTAGCTCAGCTGGTTAGAGCACGATGTTATAACACCAAGGTCAAAGGTTTCGGATCCCTGTACCAGCCAGCCACCATTAAAAAAAAAAAAAAAAAAGATTGCACAACTGGTGGTGAAGGTCGACTCCACAAGAGCAGGAACTGTGTTTAATGTTACTCACCAATGTATCCCAAGCACCCAACAATGACTAAGGCTCTCGGTAAACATATGTGAAATGATAGATCTGGGGAGTGGGACCCATATCTATCTCCAGCACCATCGCCCTAATTGAGTCAGAAGCTCTGCAACCGAGTCCCCAGGGGCCCACAGAGAAGCAACTTCACCTCTCAAAACCTCAGCGAAACCTATACGCAAAGTGGGGCTGACACAAAGCAACCCTTCCTAGGGTTAAAGCGATGGGTCAAAAACAACGAAAGAGGCAAAAGCTCTCTGTATAGCGCGCGTTCCTCGGACATTGTATTAGGAGATCTAGTGGAGCCGGAGAGTCCACGCCGCCAGCCAAGGTGGGCTGAGGATGAGGCCTCTCGGGCAGGCAGAGGTTAACTTGGGCCTGGGCACAAACCCACCGCTCAGCCTCACGGAGGGGGGGGCCAGAGCCCGAAATCCCAGCGACGTCCTTCCTCCACGACCTCTTCGCCGTCGGGAAGGGTGCAGGCTCACCTCCGCGCCGCACCACCCAATCGTAACGCACGCGTGTGCGCGCATGCGTACCCCCACGGGTCAGCGACGGCGGCCGGGAGGCGGAAGTGGATGTTGTTGTGGCTTCGCGGGTTGCTCGAGGAGCTACTGCTGCTGAGGCGGCAGCGTTGCTGAGGCGGTGGCGGCGCTGCCGGCCCCGGGCCGCTTCGCTTCTCTGCTAGCCACCCAGCCTCGCCTGAGCCCGCCGGGGCCTGCGCCGGCCAGCGCCTGCCCTATGAGTGTGTCACTGGTTGTCATCCGACTGGAGCTAGCCGAACATTCGCCCGTCCCCTCCGGCTTTGGCTTCAGCGCCACCGGTGAGTCCCGCGGCCTCGCCGCCTTCCCGGTAGCCACGCCTGGGGCTCACCCTCCCAAAGTACGGGCCTGGGGAAGGCCGCGGCGAGGGGTTTTGCCTGAGAGAGGAGCTAGGAGATGGTTGGGATCGCTCTCGTTCCATTCATCTTTGAGAGGCCTTCCCAGGTGTCGTCTCTGGGAAGCCCTTGCCCGACCCTCCCTTCCTAAAAACGGGCATTCAGTTTTTACCCGGCGCGTCTCCTTCGCCCTGCATTAAGAGTCGAGTTGGGTAAGTGTTTGTCTCACTTGCTTTCCTTTAGGCTTTGTGAAGGCAGGGAATGGGTTCCCAGAGACACTGACAGTCCGTGGTTTCATTAAACTGTTCCTCTTTGGAAGGATATCCACTTAGTTGCCCTATAACGATAGTAATAGTAACTGAAATTTGGATACTTCCCATATCCCAGCATTGTAGTAAACACCTTGTGTACGTTATCTTTGCAATACCCCTATGAGGTAGATGGGTGGTATGTACCTTTTACAGATTGGGAAACTGAAGCCCAAACTGTATTAGTCCGTTTCTGTTCCTTCTAACAGAATACCGGAAACTGGGTAATTTATAAAGAAAATGAAATTTATTTCTTACAGTTTTGGAGGCTGGAAAGTCCACGGTCCAGGGAACCCATTTGGCAAGGGCCTTATTCCTGGTGATAAGCCTCTGTATCCACGCAGAGTATCATATGGTGAAAATGGACTGAACAAGAGAGAGAGCTGACTTTTTGACTTACCCTCCTTATAAAGCCATTAGAATCACACCAATTGCACCATGAATGAATCAATCCTTTCACAAGGGACTGTCCTCACAGTCTAATCACCTCTAAAGGCCCCACCTTTCAAATATCATTATTAGATTTCCCATCCCCATAACACTATTACAATGGGGGTCAAGTTTCCAGTACATAAATTTTGGGGAGACGTATTTAATCCGTAGGACCCAGTGTTCAGTGATTTGCCCAAGGTTATCTGTAAGTGGTGAAACTGGGATTCTAACTCAGGGAGCTGGACTTGAAGGTCTGAGCACTTTACCACCAGCTACACATCTCCTTAGAGGGACATTCAGCTATGACGCTGTTCCTTGGTCCTCAAATAATTACCTGAACATTCACTCAAGAAATATTTATTGGTTAGCTCAGCTGGTTAGAGCACAGCCTTGTAACACCAAGGTCAAAGGTTCGGATCCCCGTACTGGTCAGCCATCAAAAAAAAAAAAAAAAGATTTATTGAATGCTCATTATGTGCTGGAAGTTTTGTTGTATGCAGAATCAGACATGGTGTCTACTTTAATGGTGCCAGCAGTTCAGTGGGGGAGACAGAAGAATTGAATAAATACAAAAAAGACCAACCAAACAAACAAACAAAAAAAAAAAAAAAAAAAACTGTGATAAGTGCTGTGAAGGAAAGGAGAAACAGTTTGGGAAACTATTACAAGAGGATCTGTTTGTTTTGGCGAGCAGGGCCAGGGGCAGGTAGGGATGGTGTCACTGGAAACTTCCCTGGGTACATTAACTTTGGAGCTGCATATTAAAGACTGAATATGATTTAATTTTATTTTATTTAGAGAGCTTCCACTGCATGCTAGCCACTGTAGTATAAGTTATAAGTGCTGGAAATACAATGGTGGGCAAAACAGGCTGTGCCCTAACAGAGCTTAAATTAAGGATATTTCTAGTCAATCCTCCAAATTCCTTTTCCCTTTTATGTGTTTCATTGATTTAAATCAATAATCTTAGATTTTCATGGCTTGAGCCACGGCATGAGGGTAACCTAGGATGTTTAAGAAGACTACCCCTTAAGATTTTTGGACTTGATACCTTCATTTTGGGCTTAACATGGAGTTTCACTTTATCAGGTGTTACTAAAATGTTAGTTTATCTGGGCATAATCACTGTCGAACCTTCCCGAAGGCTTTTACTCTTGTTGATTTGCTTTAAAGTGCATGATTTCATTAGAACAGCCCTGCATTTCTGAGTTTATTGTACTGGCTATTTATTAACTGTTTACTGGGTACTGCAGGAGTCTCAGAAGTGAGTGAAGTGGATAATGCAAAGGCTGTCTTATCATCTTGGGGGAGGGTAGCAGAGGGAAAAGGGAAACCTATCAGTGGATACATTGAGAATGGAGAGGAGGTTGTTATCATCAGGTATTAATTGTTCATGTGTTCTTTAGCTGGGGAAATGTCTGATGAGGAGATCAAAAAGAAGACATTAGCTTCAGCTGTAGCCTGTTTAGAAGGGAAGTCACCAGGGGAGAAAGCAGCAATCATCCATCAGCATCTTGGCCGTCGAGAAATGACAGATGTGATTATTGAGACCATGAAGTCCAACTCAGGTGTGCTTTCTAAAACCCTAGACTCTGTCTTGTAATGTGAGTCCCTGGTTGCCTGTTTTATACATGTTGTTTGATGAGCCTGTGATTTTGGCCTCTAGCATACTTTTATCTTTCACTGTCTGTGTGCTTTACATATGGTCATTATACCACATTTGAATGTCTCCAAATATTTCTTCCTGGGTTATAACCTGGGTTGACAACTGGATTTTGGTGGGGGAGAGCTTCTAACCACCTAAGTCAGTGACAAATCACGAATGCATCCAGATAAGCATGTTGTGACTTCCTTTGCTCTGCCAGCTCATTCCAGCCAGGGAGTGGATAATATACTGCATCTCCAGCATGGAGGTGGTCAGAGCTGGTACGTTTGGATTTCATATTTAATCGTTCTGAATGTTTGTCCCACTGAGGAGCATGTAATGGGAGACACCTGCTCATATCATGGTACTGCTTAATATAAGAGGCATCCTTGAGTTTCTGAGGGTGTTAATGAGATTTCTATGGGGCAGAGAGCTTTAAAGTTGAGATGCCCCCAAGACTCAGCTGTTCTGCAAGTATAGTTCTTAATGCAGTGCATTACAATTTCCCTATCAAAGTTTATTCTTCAGTAGTGAGTAGAATTATGGTTAGTAGAAGCTGGGTGGGGGAGTAGGGAGGGAAAATAGTGAGCATTTAGTTAATGGACACGAAATTACAGCTAGGTAGGAAAAATAAGTTCTAGTGGTGTACAGTAGTGCTAGATATCTATAATTAACATTTATGTTTTCAAATGGCTAGAAGAGAGGAGCTCAAATGTTCTTATCACAAATGATAAATTTTTGCCATGGTAAATATGCTAACTACCCTGAGTTGATCATTATACATTGAATACATTTATTGAAATATAATTCTGTACCCCCTAAATATGTACAATCCATATGATTCAGTCAAAGAATAAATTCCTTAAAAAGAAAAATTCGCTCCTCTGACTTGAAATTTTAATCTAGTTAGAATCCTTCAGCATATTTCTTATCTGTTTATAATATACTAATTTTTGATTTGTGAAAGATGAGCTAAAAGCTACAATGGAAGAAAGGAAGTCTTCAGAAGCATCCCCCACTGCACAGAGAAGTAGAGATCAAAGTAAAGAATGCATAAACACTGCTCCCGATTCTCCATCCAAACAGCTTCCAGACCAGATTTCGTTCTTCAGTGGAAATCCATCAGTTGAAATAGTTCATGGTATTATGCATTTATACAAGACAAAGTAAGAAAAACCTTTTTCCTTTTGGGTTGGTCTATTTTCTGCCTTAGGGTAGAGAAAACTCTTGTCCTGAAGGGATGTGGATATTTTAAGCTTCAAAAAGATAGTACTTTCATGTATTGTGTGTTAAAGAATTCTCAGATGTTTTACATTTGGCTAATCTTGTGGATTGGGTTGAAGCTTCTCCTTATTAAAAAAAAACAAAAAAACAAAAACACGTGTAGATACACTTAAGAAAATACCTGGGGGTTGGCCAGTTAGCTCAGTTGGTTAGAGCGCAGTGTTATAACACCAAGGCCAAGGGTTTGGATCCCTGTACCAGCCAGCCACCAAAAAAAAAAAGAATATACCTGGGAAAATATTCCCTTAGCAGGTGCCGTGAAAGGTGATTGGAGAACTGAAAGGAAGAAAGATAAAAAAAAGAAAGTGATACACAACGTTATTGTAGTCTCAAATCCCCACTAAATCTTTACCAAAGAAGCTGCCAAGAAGTCAGTGAACTAACTACAATTCTATCACTTTTTTTTTTTTACCCTTTTCTGTAGGTCCAAACACAGCTTGCTGGAGGCCCAAGGAAAGGAAGCATTTGGTTAGATAATCCACAAGTTGGGCCATCAGCTCCTTAGATAATTGGTAGCTGATATCTTAAAGGCTGTTCTGTCCTAACTTGTTTGCCAGGTTCTTCCTGGGAAAACAGCAAGTACTCAGGTAGCCATTTTGGATCACAGCTGTCAAGTGAGTTTACAGCATTTCAAAAACAAGTTGTATTGTAGGAGGCTTTTCTTGCCCCTCTATTTCAGCTATTCCAACCCAGCAATACTTTATGTAATCTTTAATCACATCTTCATGGTTTAGAATTCTCTCTTATATTTAGAGATCTTTTTTTTCTAGACCTATGAGAGAAGTCCATAGCTAGAGCTGTGCTTCTAAGTTGCCCAATGACAGATTATTATTCAAAAACTAAATGAGAATAAAATACAAACTGAGAATTTGCCTAATGCAGACTTATAACCATAACAAGCCTTTAACTGAAGATTAAAAATTATGGTGAGAGGTGTCATGTAGAACACTTTAAAGTTTGCTTTAAATTCCACTGCAGGTGTGTTTAAGGGATTCTACATTTACCCATCTAATGTGTATTTCCAAGTAAAATTAAACAAGCTGTTTAAATTGATTTGTGAAATATTACAGATTTCATTTTTTCTATTTTCTTGGATACAAAAGTTGTCTAATTAGTGTTGTCTGAACTAACCATACCTCATCTATTCAAGACAGTCTAATTATTGTCTTGTTAGTAAGATGACCTCCTTAAAAGAAGATGTGAGGCGCAGTGCCATGCTGTGTATTCTCACAGTCCCCGCTACAATGACCAGTCATGACCTCATGAAGTTTGTCGCCCCATTTAATGAAGTAATTGAGCAAATGAAAATCATCAGAGACTCTACTCCAAATCAATATATGGTGCTGATGAAGTTTAGTGCACAGGTAAAAGTTAAGATATTAAAAATCTCTTTGCCACAGAAACTGTGTTTTTGAAACTGTATGATACTAGCTGTGTGTGATTTATGTTTTGCACTTAAGGTTCTTGATGTATGTGTTCTAGGGTATTATAATTCTAGATTTATTTCTAAATTCACTAGCAGAAATACAATTGTAATTCATACCTATGATTTTTTTTTTTTCTGACCGGTAAGGGGATCACAACCCTTGGCTTGGTGTCATCTGCACCACACTCAGCCAGTGAGCGCACTGGCCATCCCTATATAGGATCCAAACCCGCAGCCTTGGCACTACCAGCGCCGCACTCTCCCGAGTGAGCCACGGGGCCGGCCCATACCTGTGATTTTTTATAGATCATATTGGATATGAAATCTAGGATTCTGTTTGTTTATCCAGTTGTAACTATTCTAGTAAAACAGTAGTTCCCAAGCTTTTGAGGTTGATGCTGTCTTATTATGCCATTACTACTGCTTTTTTTATTCTCTCTCTCTTTTTTTTTTTTTTTTAATGTTTTTGAGTGGTTGTTATTCTCTTTTTAAAAGGTACTCTTTGGCACATTTTTGAAAATCTATTTTAGTTTTTTAAACTTTTGGTGACAAGGGATTTTGTGACATTCCTTGAATTATTAAAGATGGTTTAGTGTTCTGATTGGAAATCACTGCACTAGAGAGACAGAAACACTGAAAGAATCGTGATATTTTCAATTTTTAAAAGTGTTTATGGAGTATAACATACTTTTTGATGTGGGAAGGTTTTGCCATTTATTCCATTTCACTTACTGCCTCTAGCAGTACTCTGCATGCACCTCACTTCCAAAGATGTTAGAGAGGTATTCTCTTGGTTCTGCATACTCATTTTTATGAGTATGCATGTTTTATATGAATATAAAAATGAGGTAAGCTTTAAGTATTATTCGGGTTATTAAAGAGCTACCCTATCCTTAGGTTTCATTCTATTTGTGTTTGTTCATTGAGGTTTCATTAGGTTTTGACATGCAGCTTTGTCAAAAGTTAACTTCCTGAATTTGCCCCAGGAAAACAGTTCTAACTTACTATTAGACAAAGAAATGGGTGTGCCTGTAGGATCATTTGCCATTGTTTCTTTCACTGGTCACCGAGGTTTATGATGAAAGGAAGCCCATGACACAAGGCCTGTTTGCCATCTCCTCCTTCCTTGTTACAGAAACCCAGAGTTGATAGCAGTGGCAGCCATTCCGTGGCCATGTGGAGGAAATTAGAGAAATAAGAGTTGAATCATATTTGTACCTGTTCTGTGGGCCCCAGAGAAAACCTTAATGTAGAGTCCTGTGTACAAGAGGGTACACGGTTATTTAACCTTTACAAGGTACTCCACCATTGACAGACACAATTAAAACATGGGTTTCAATCATCCTATAGACTTAGACTTCACAAGTTGACATTAGGAACAGAAAAACACTTAACTCCTTTCACTGACTGTCAAAAGAATTTCCTGGGGCACTGAGGAGCTTTGCAAACAATGGGAAAGTGGAGCCTTAAACCACTTAAATCTGGTCCCACATGATAGTAAGCATAATGGTGTTAATATGTAACCTTTATAGATGGCTGCTTCTATACCACTCACTGTGCTAACTGCTGCACATGCATTCTCATTTAATTCTCACTACAATCTTTTCAAGTAGTCTTGTTTAACAGATGAAGAAATTGAAAGCAGAGGGAGATTTGTGATTTACCCAGGGTTACACAGCTATAAATAAATGACCAAGCAGGGATTGAGCCCTCGCTTTTAATCCCTAGGACATACTCGTCCTCTAGTAGGAGTGGGACAAAGGTATGAAGAAGGGAGACCATCATTGTTAGCAAGACATTCTGTAACAGCAATATTTTAGTTATAGTTTCTACTTAACAATTAAGGGTGGGACTGGCCATTTAGCTCAGTTGGTTGGAACATGGTATTATAACACCAGGGTCAAAGGTTCAGATCCCCATACCAGACAGCTGCAAAAACAAAAAACAAGGGCAATCAGCAAGTAATACAAAGGAAAAGTCACAGAAATAGACTGGGAAAAAATGTTTAAGAACTTATTAGGCTTTTGAAACAATCTAAAGTCTAATAACCCCACAACACTAACCTGTCTAATAAACCACAAACTATTCTATAGCAAGTGCTGCCCTTCATAATGTGCAGAGAATACTGAGGGCATTTTCTATTATTGTTAATGGATTTTCTTTGTATATCTGCACTATCCTCTCCACTTCTGTCTTTTGATCAAGTGCAGGTTGCTCAAGTTGACAGATGTTTTCTGAGACTATGAAACAGCTTGCTGTGTGTTCTTTCCCATGAGAATAGAGCCCTTGACTGTGGTATTATGAGTTGGATTATATATTGCTAACATTGGATCTTAGAGTCTGATCCCTATCATGGTCGATCCTATTAAGGAGTTTCTAAGACCTAATAACACTCTTGGGGTAAGAACTGGAAGTTGTTAATTGATATTGGGCTCTAGCGAGAATAATAGACTCAATAGCTACCAATTATTGAGCACTTACTAGATTCTGAATACTGTGCTAAGTGCTTTTCATGCATTATCTCTTTGAATCCTCTCAATGGTGCCATGAGGTAGGTCTTGTTACTTTTATATTTGTAGTTGAGGAAACAGGCAGAGATAAGTTACTTGCCCAAAGTTAGACAGCTAATAAGTATCAGAGTTAGTGTTCAAACCCATGTAGCTTGACTCCATAGCCTAGGCAGCTAACTACATTCTTATTTCTTTGTTTTTCTTACCAGAGAATTTTTAATAAGAAATCATGGGCTGGCCAGTTACATCAGTTGGTAAGAAGATGGTGTTAATAACACCAAGGTCAAGGGTTTGGCTCACTGGACAGCCGCACCTCCCCCCCCAAAAAAAATCATAAGCCTTCTCTGTATCTTTTATAATCTCTTGAATTTCTGTTAGCCTTAGCTTTATGTTGGAGGTCTTATAAAGAGATGTACTTACAAACTTTGTAGCATGACCTTTAGGAAACTTGGTCTTTAGATAAGGAATTTGTAATTCACCAGGACAAAGGAAAGCAGAAGGGGTTCAATTTTGTTGTTTTGGGGTACAAAAAAGGACAGATAACCTCTCAAGAGAATATGTTCGTTCATTTTCACTTGCGTGCTTACTTAGGACAGCCTGAAAGACCCCTCTTTTGAGAAGTGAAAATATGTTCTCGATGCTGTAGTTGATCACTGTGGCAGCGAAGGAACCTTGATCATAATGGATTTGACTTTTTCGGAGTTCATTCTCAGAAGAGAACAGTAAAAACAAAGGACTAAAAAACCCAGTAATGGCTGGTTTTCTTAAGTTTGGGGATCCATACAATGCAAACATTTTAAATAAAAGAATTGTTTCTTCTGTGTTTTTTGCGTTTAGCTTCAGGCTTTTGTTTCATGCATTTTGACAGTGAGTTGAAGTAGGAAACGTGTATTTTGTTCCCCCGCTCTATTCCTAGTGTATAGCACAGTGTCTGACATATACTAGGTGCTCAGTAAATATTCAAACAAATGAAGCTACATTTCTAATACCAAGATTTTAGAGAAGGAGACCAATGTGTTTAAATTGGAAAATCGCAACTGTTTACTGATATTGTCATTTCAAAGAGTGTATTTCTTTGGTATAGATCAACAGCTCCTCCAAGAAAGGAATAATTTGTCTGGTGTTGAGCGGGTTTGGTCACACACCTTGCCACCTCCTCTGAAGACACTTGGTTGCTTAGCGAGCATTTACAGAGGTCTGAGTCCAAGGAGGGGTTGGCCTTCTTTGGCAGCCAGCTCCTGGTCGTGCCTGAGGCCCTGAAGAGCTGAGCAGAGGCCCTGACTTCCAGGCAGTCAGTTCCTTCAGTACATGAATCCTTGTACTCACTGTGGCTGCTTACACATCCAAAAGCACTTCAGGAAAAAGCTATTGTTCCTGAAGAATGGGGGAAGCCATTTTAGGTTGGCCGTTCTCAATATTAAAGAGGTTTATTATCCAACAACTGATTTTAAACATTTTGAAGTTAAAATGCACTGTACCCAGTACACAGATTATTTCCTTCAAGAATGCCTCCCTCTGCCCCCTCAAAAATAAAAGTACATTTGGAATTGATCATCCTAACTCAGCTGCTTAGCTCACTTGGTCATATTAAGAAAGCATAAATAATCAAGAATCCACAATTGAATTATGTCATTGGAATGGAATTAAAAGCTGCTGAGAAGCTTACGGTGGCTATGAGATTCAGAGCCCTATGAGGGTAGACAGGCAAGACTATTTCTGCCTGGTACAGCCTGAATCTCTTCCTAGATGTTGACAATGCAGCATTTCCTTTTGCAGAAGCAGCTAGTCTACTTTGGTAGGGCCAAAGCACACAGCTTTCTGTGTTTGGGCCACTGCCCATGTGGGAGTGAAATCCAGACAAGCCGTGGCCTCTCCGTTGCCTCAAAAAATTGGCTGAGTTTAAATACTGGAATCATCTCTTTGTTGCTTTCTACTAAGCCTAGACCATAAGGCTTCATTTACCTGTGTCCATATTCACAAATGCACATGTGTCTTTGCGGCTTTATCTACACAGGGCTGTTTCTCCTTTTTCCATCTATCTTCCACTGCAGAGGAATGAGACTGTTAGTATTTTAAGGGCTGGTTCATCTTGGATCTCTTGTCTTTGACCAGAAATTTTGCTTTTGGTATTGGACACTAGGTTGTTTAAAAACTCCTGATGGGATCCTTATCTAACTATTGTGTGTTATTATTACTTGATTTATTGAAGAGGAGTTGGGGTTTTTTTGACCGGTAAGGAGATCACAACCCTTGGCACGGTGTGGTCTGCACCATGCACAGCCAGTGAGCGTACCGGCCATCCCTATATAGGATCCGAACCCGCAGCCTCAGCGCTACCAGCGCCGCACTCTTCCAAGTGAGACAGGGGGCCAGCCCAGGAGTTGGTTTTTCATTTCATATAAGTTCCAGTGGTCCTTAATTTTTTTCTAACATAAATGCTGACATTTTTTTAAAAAGAATTCTTCCATAACAATTGTCAATTATGATTTGGTTCCAAGCTTGGCAAAGATGAGTGTTTACCATCAGTTGCTGCAAAAGTGAGGACTAGAGGGGGGAAAATTGTTATCAAGGGAAATGTTGACCGTTGTTGGTTGAATATTAAAATTGTACTAGCTATCAGTTTATTGCACTTCAGTAGCTTCTGCCAGTTCAAGTAAAAATTCTCAAGTAGCTCAGGAAACATTTTAGAGATGTAGGACATTGACCTGCAGAGTTCAAGCCCACCAGACTGCTTCAATAGATGTTACTTTTGGCGGTTGCTTTCTCTCCTAAGTATAAATTTTAAAAGCTGATGAGGAGAATAATTGAAGCCATGCATCTCAAATATAAAGCAAACTTTCACGATATCTATTTTAATCTTTTCCTTTTCCCCATTGGTGTACATAGGCTGATGCAGATAGTTTTTATATGGCATGCAATGGCCGCCAGTTCAACTCAATAGAAGATGATGTTTGCCAGCTGGTCTATGTGGAAAGGGCTGAAGTGCTAAAATCTGAAGATGTAAGTGTGAATAATTCTTATATTTGACTGTATCAGATTGGTATAAAATTGAGTGTTAAGATATCTGTGGAAATGTCCAGAATAGGCCAATCTATAGAGACGGAAAGTAGATTAATGCTTGCCAGGGGCTGGGAGAAGAGAGGAATGGCGAGTGACTTCTAACAGGTATGGAGTTACTTTTGGGGGTGATGGAAATATTCTAGAATCAGATAGTGGTGGTGGGTGTATAGCCTTGTGAATATAGTAAAAGCCACTAAATTGTATATTTTAAAATGGATAATTTTTATATTATTTCATGTTTTTAAATTGCAAAAAATATTAAAAACTGAATAATTTGTAATACCAAGGTCAAGGGTTTGGATACCCATACTGGCCAGCTGCCAAAAAAAAAAAAAAAAATTGAGTGTTCACCTATTACAGATTAACAAAGCATTGTGTGGAGCTGAAAAGAAATGTTTTGTTTTAAATGTTAACCCTTACTCCCCTTCCTAATTCTTGATTACTTTGTTTTTTGTTTTGTTTTTTTAATTCTGTTTTGATAGCAATTTGTAATTGCTCTGATCTGCCACCCTCTTTGGGAACCCTTCCTACAACATATGCTCACTTGAGTCATTTTATAAAGTAGCAGATTCAGCTCTGTGATTTATTTATTTATTTATTCATTTATTTTTAAAAGATGACCGGTAAGAGGACCTTAACCCTTGACTTGGTGTTGTCAGCACCATGCTCACCCATTGAGATAACCCGCCATCCCTATATGGGATCCGAACCAGTGGCCTTGGTGTTATCAGCACCACACTCTCTCGAGTGAGCCACAGGCTGGCCCCAGATCTGTGATATTTTTAAGATTTCCTTTCTTTTAAAGTAGACCTAAAGGTCTTTTTACCTTGATGGAAATAAGTTCTGATTAGGTTGTTCTATCATTAGATTCAGGAAAGTAAAATGTGATAAGTGATAAAATTGAGCTTCCATTCGGCCAGGTGCTGCATGAGGCCTCAGTTTTAGAGATTCTTTTCTCTAAATGAACATGGCTTCTTGAGAGAGTTCCTGTAAATATGTGCTCTTCAAAGCCTGCACATGAATGTGCTTTTTCTCCGTTTGTGCTTTTGTGTATGCTTCCTCACTTCTGCCTAAGTAATTCCTTCTCATCTTCAGGCTGGCAGGGCTCAAGTCAGACATTGCTGTCTTGGGGTACCTTTCCTGACCACCTAGACTGTTGTGCCCCCTATTTTACACCCAGTCATAGCTTCCTGTACTTTTTTCCCTAATTTGATTTTTGTCTCTCCCTCCACTAGGTTCAAAGCTATGTGAGGGCAGGAAGAAACTGCCCTATGAGAAACTGTTTTCTTGGACTTACTGTTTTTGTTCAACATTGTTCCACACCTGGAATGGTATCTGGTGCACATAGCAGGGATCCAATAAGTATTTGTTAAGTGAATGAATAAATGAAAATTAGTGTTGTTGATATTATTATTATTAATAAGTAGAAAGTGTTGAGTTATAATTTACTCTGTGGAAAAATGATTCAGATCCATTGCTAATCTGCTTATTTTATCCCTTTGTGTCCTATTATTGTCCTAGACATTCAGAGCTAAAGCTAGGAGTCTGGTAACGTTTTAGACTTACATATTAAGGTTTTGGCAGCAGTCTCCCTCCCTTCCTAGGATGTCAGCTCCATGGGGGCAGGGATCTTTGCTTTGTTCACCACTGTATTCCCAGTGCCTAGCATAGCACTGGGAATATAGGAGGTGCTCAATCAGTATTTCTTGAATGAATGAATAAATGAATGAAAGTCTTACCAATTTAAATTATTTGCATAGAACAATAATGTTGAGAATATCCTGCTAGGAATCAGAAAACAACAGGAAAACTACTGATAAGAGAAAAAAAATTGCTGGTGGATGAAGAGTGTGGCTTATGTGGTATGTTTCCCTGTAGGGTGCCAGCCTCCCAGTGATGGACCTGACAGAGCTCCCCAAGTGCACGGTGTGTCTGGAGCGCATGGACGAGTCCGTGAATGGTATTCTCACCACGTTATGTAACCACAGCTTCCACAGCCAATGTCTGCAGCGCTGGGATGACACAACGTGAGTTCACCTCCACCATATCGAAGTCCATTATGACCCTTTTCCAGAATTAAAAATAGCCACCACCAAAAATGGACCATTCCAAGTATCTGACTTTATAAACCTGGCACCATGATAGTAAAGAGGTTACACAGAAGGGCCTTCCATTTTTTTCCTTCACTTTCCTCAGTTCACATGGGAATCAGCATTCTTAGACCAAGTCCTTTTTAGTATGCTGATTCCGAATGCTTGTGAAATTTCTCAAAGCAGGGTGCATTGTTCTTTCCTTCCCAGAGCTGGAGAATGGGGAAGAAAAAAAAAAATGCAAAGCTTAGCTTTGAGGCTCTTATGCTAAAATGAAATCTATGTCTGGAATCTCATCTATCACCTGCACTTGGTGTCTAACATTCACTTTGGCTTTCTTATCAACTGGGCTACAGCACCCTAACATTTTAGCTTTATCAGGCTGCTGGTGGCTTGGTGGCCAGTGGTAATAGTGTCATTAAGAAAGAGGCATACACCTAGTATCTTCTGATTCCCAGCGCAACAGAGGCCTTAGTTATAGGTGGCATTGCTGCAGACAAAGAACAGAGGTGTAGCCTGTGTCTCCCCGTCCCCCCACCCCCAAATCAAGAGTAGTTGCTCCCTTTGCAAACTGTACTATAGCACTTAGCTAGAAAGGTATATCAGATGCTGTCCTCGTGGGTTTCCTGATACAGAGGAGAAGAAAGAGAATCTGACAATCATGCAGATAAGTGTGAAATCACAGCCATAACAGATGTTGTAGAGGAGCAGAATGTGGCTTCACAGCTGAAGAACTGGGGCCATGATGCAGCCAGGGACACCTGAGAAATGATGTCTTCAGGAGGATATGAGTTAGCTGAGAGAAGTTGGTGTGGGGTAGGGGTGTGCTTTTGAAGAGGAAGATCACATTCCAAAGCCCAGAAGTTAGGAGAGGAGAAAGTCCACAGGAATCTCTTTCTCCACCCACAAGTGGCCTGGTGGCTAGAAGAATGCCAGCTTTCACAAAGCAGGGACCTTGCCTGTCTTGCTCACTGCTGTGCCCCTCTCATGTACTGGGAGACCTGGTGCACAGTAGGAGCTCATTAAATATTGGTGAGCAAATAAACTCTGGGTTTCTGTAGCTTATTTAGCTTCCCTACCTTATTTAGCTGGACAAGAATCTTGCCGCAATTCCCTAAAGTCCTCAGGAAGTTCTGGGATATCATTCGGGAGTTCTTCAAAGAATTGTTCAGGTTTAAAGTTGCCTTGAACAAAGCCATACTGAGATGTGTGCATTCTGTAAAATGTTTATCTGTATCTTGTGTCCACCTGCTACACCATTTAAGTTCTGGGCACTTCTCTGTTCCCTGACACTCCAATTTTACTTTCTGCATCGGTTAATTGTCATAGATCCATAGCATTTTAAAGTTGAAAGTTTCCTTAGGCCGTCTTGTCCATCCTTCTCATTTTACAGAGGAGGAAACTAAGGCCCAGAGGTAAGAATTAGTATGCTCAAAATGTCACAGCCAGAGAATGCCAGAACTGGGACTAGAATTCAACCCGTTTTATGGGATGTGAGCCATGGCATCTGCCCTTAAAAGCATGCAGTTGATTTAGTGAGTGGGGGTTTTTTGGGTTTTTTTTAAGAATTGCTTGTTCCCATGTTTAACTTTATTTATTTAATTTTTTTTTTGCAATCAATATTTATTTGTTATTTAATTATTTTTCTCTTTTTCTTCCCCCACCCACCCTTTCTCTGTTTATTTATTTATTTATTTTTAGCCCCTACAATTAAGTGAGAACATGTGGTATTTCTGTTTCTGTGCCTGACTTGTTTCACTTAATATAATTTTCTCTAAGTCCATCCATGTTGTTGCAAATGGTAGTATCTCGTTCTTTTTTATAGCAGAGTAGTATCCCATTGTGTAGGTGAACCACAGTTTCCTCTTGTTTCACTTAATATAATTTTCTCTAAGTCCATCCATGTTGTTGCAAATGGTAGTATCTCGTTCTTTTTTATAGCAGAGTAGTATCCCATTGTGTAGGTGAACCACAGTTTCCTCATCTACTTATCAGATGATGGACATTTGGGCTGGTTCCAGCTCTTGGCTATTGTAAATAGAGCTGCTAGTGAGTGGGTTTTGAACCTCAATGTTTGCATGGTACAGTGCTAGGTGCTTGCGGGGAGGAACCAAACCCACATCTTCATGGGAAAGCTCCATCTAAAGGAGTTTACACATGTACATAAATGTATGTGATTCTAGGTAGAGATTAGAGGAGGGAGAGATGGCATCCCTGACTAGGGGTGCTCAGGAAAGGCTGCCCTAGGAGGCAGCATTGGTACCAGGTCTTTTAGACACTTGGAGATGTCAGAGAAGCCCTTTCTGGGACTGTCTCCCCAAGATTTCATCAAGAAAATAATATAAAAACTTAAAATTTATTTTTGGAGGGGAAGGCAGTAAGAATTCTTAAAACTGTCACTAGACAGATGATATGATATATTACAGAGTACTAATTGTATAATACAAGTACTTTTTTTTTTTGGTAGCTGGCTGGTATGGGGATCCAAACCTATGACCTTGGGGTTACAAGGCTGTACTCTAATCAATTGAGCTAACTGGCCAGCCTCCAAGTAACTTTATGTTTATAATTTTTTCCCTTTTCTATTTGCTGGATCAGATTTACATTTCAGAAAAATCATTCTGGCACAATGTACAGAGTTGGATTTCAGAATTAGTTTGTTGTTTTCTTATTCAGCCACTGCCACAGCCACTGCACAGACAGAAGGGATGACACAAAGCTAGTTTCTACCCCTGGCCAGACTGCTTGCCACTTACTAGCTGCCATTTCTGTTATTTCTTCAAGTTTGTCTTCTCTCTTCTCTTTTGATGCTAAACAAAGAGACGGACTGAATTCTTTAGCTTTCTCTTAGGAAACACAGATAGAGCCTCCTTATCTGTGACAAGAACTGAGTGTTCTTCCTGCTTATTTCCTTTTCTTGGTTTTATTTACTCAGTTGGGTAACAAAATGGTACAAGTTGTATGTTGAGCATTCTTTCTTCTTGGTGCCAATTCAGTCAGCATCAACTGACTTTGATGTTTTTCCATCCAACAAAAATATTCATGACTAGTACTTACCATTACTTTGTTTTGAGTATAATAGAAAAGGATTAATGGATTTTTTTCAATGTCATTTTATTTGCTTTTTGTAAATCTAAACTTGAAGACCCAATAAAGAATATTCAATTTGGTAAATTTACTACAGATTTTTATTTATTTATTTATTTATTTTTTTGGCAGTTGACCAGTAGGGGGACCCGAACCCTTGACCTTGGTGTTATCAGCACCACAATCTCCCAAGTGAGCTAACTGGCCAGCTACCACAGATTTTAGATCCATCTCTTAGGAGCAACCTGGAGAGGACAGGGTATTCTGAATGATTAAAGTCTTTGGGAAATGGGGATAAGGTAGATTGTTTGGAGTAAAAATACATTATGGATAACCAGACATGAACAAAATTAATAACCTGCCTCAAGTCCTAATTCTAACCTATAAATATTTAGCTCTTTGATCATCTAAGCTTTAGACAGAAGAGTGGAAAAGGATATGAGACAGATCAAAATTTCTCCGTTTTCCTCTGCTTTATCAAGATTTTTAATATTTTAATTTTGTTTGAGAGCAGCCCAAAAATGTTTGTCTTTTAAGTGACATACTTAGTTATGGTAAACTTGAAAACAGCATATGAGAGAGGGAGGATATAAAATCCAGTTTTTGACTTTTGGCTTCTGTAACAGCCATCTTTGATATTTAATCTGTACCATTATCTTTTGGTGTCCTGCATAGGTGTCCCGTTTGCCGGTACTGTCAAACACCAGAGCCAGTAGAAGAAAATAAATGTTTTGAGTGTGGTGTTCAGGAAGTAAGTAATGGATGATAGAAAAGAATAATGAACACAGCTCTAATTGTCTGGGGTTTTCTTCTGCTTCATGTGGCTTAAATTCTTTTAAATTCTTTTTAAGACTGATTTTTTTTTCTTTTTGTCTAGAGTTAGGATATATGAATATACAAATTATGTTACTCCTAAGCGAAATACTTTATGCTCTTATTCTTTGTTCCTTTAAAGCCTTAGATTTTTATTAATAAATTGTGAATCTTTTTCTTGCTATTTACGTAGATCTCCTTGGAAATCAGAGCAAGAAAATGACTGACCCATGAAAGCATCGTTGATTGCTGGGTTTTAAACATATATTTATTCAAAACTCCTGTAGAAACAACTCTGTGTCTCATTCTGTGTCAGGCCCCTTCCCACCCCAGATGGGCCAGGTCATGTGTTTTTATTTAACTAATAAAGCTCTTACCTCCTTCTTGGCAGAACCTTTGGATTTGTCTGATATGTGGCCACATAGGATGTGGACGATATGTAAGTCGACATGCTTATAAGCACTTTGAGGAAACGCAGCACACATATGCCATGCAGCTCACCAACCATCGAGTCTGGGACTATGCTGGAGGTGAACACCACTCTCAGATTTTCTAATTTGGATTCATTCTGTATGGAAACTTTTCCTTCAGAACCTCTTCACTGTCCCTCACAGCTTAAAATGTCATCTTCCTGGGGCCGGCCCGGTGGCGCACTGCTACAGTGCGCCGCTTGGGAAGCGCGGCGGCACTCCCGCCGAGGGTTCGGATCCCACATACAGACCGGCCGCTCACTGGCTGAGCGAGGTGCGGGAGCAACACCGAGGTTTGCGATCCCGTTGCCAGTCCTGGTCTGGTCCGGGCGCGACACTGAGGGTTGCGATCTGTTGCCGGTCAAGACAAAAGACAAAAAAAGGAAAAAAAAAAAAAAAATGTCATCTTCCTGACAGCTGTTGCAAACTCTCACTGTGTCCCTCAGGGCACTATCTCCTAGGAATGGCCTGAATCGCACATTATAAAGAGAATAATATTTCCACTGTTGCCTTCTCACTGTCTAAAATTCAAATGATTCAACCCATTTTTAAAGAAATATTGCAAGGCATTTAATTTAGATTTACAAAAACAAAAATTTTGTCAGAGTTAAAAGCCTATGGAGACCCTTTTAATTCTGAAGAAACACACTTTGGTTGACACGTTTTTTTTCCCTTAGATAATTATGTCCATCGACTCGTTGCAAGTAAAACAGATGGAAAAATAGTACAGTATGAATGTGAGGGTGATACTTGCCAGGAAGAAAAAATAGATGCCTTACAGTTAGAGGTAAGATATTTTATTCATTATCACTCAATACCTATTTCTACTGGGTTGTGTTTTTTTTTTGTTTTTTTTTTTTTTACTATTCTAACTGAAAGGTTGTTTGGGGTTTTAATTTTGTCATTTATCCTTCATGTAACCTTTTTTTTTTAAGTTCTATCATTGCTGTGAAGGATTATTAAAATACTTTTATTCTGTCTGTTCTTCTTTGAAAGTCTAAGTTTCACTCTGCCCTGTTGTTTTCAGTGTGGTGTTCCTGTTTGTCTCAAGTTCAGTGTTAAGGTTGTCTTCCATAGCTACAGTAAAACTAGAAGTTAAGAATGTTGGCATCATGGTAGCAGTTGGAAACTGAGCAGACTTGGTCTGAATGAGGAAAACTTAATAGCATCTTTCCATGTCCCGGAAGCTTTTTTTTTTCTTTTTTTCCTTTTTGTCTTTTTTCGTGACCGGTAACGGGATCGCAACCCTCGGTGTCGCGCCTGCACCGTGGTCAACCAGTGAGCGGACCGGTCTCTATATGGGATCCGAACCCTCGGCGGGAGCGCCACCACGCTCCCAAGCGCCGCACTCTACCGGGGATCGCAACCCTCGGTGTCGCGCCCGCACCGTGGTCAACCAGTGAGCGGACCGGTCTCTATATGGGATCCGAACCCTCGGCAGGAGCGCCACCACGCTCCCAAGCGCCGCACTCTACCGAGTGTGCCACTGGGCCGGCCCTCCCGGAAGCTTTTTATTGGCTGGCAGTTTATGAATTAGAGGCTCATATATTCAAATGTGTCCTCAAAGTATATTTTATGAATAAAGCCATTGCCGGGTCTTAATATACTTGAAGAAACAACAAAATTAGCGCAATCTGATTTTTCTCCATAGCAATAAAATCTACTGTTAAGTTGATGTAGTATAAATTAGTTAAGGGTTTGGATCCCTGTATTGGCCAGCTGTCCCCCCCGCCCCCCCCAAAAAAATTGATGTACTGTAAATCTTATTTTAATGAAGGGGGAGTTTAACATGAGTTCTGTTTTATATAAATTTCGAAAAGATTGTTTTAAAAACAAATATCTTATCCTTGGGAGGAAATGGACATTTGAAAAGTTGCTCGTCTCCAGACTCTCAAAGGTCTGATAGATTCAGTAAAGTGGCGTAAAATAAGGCCGATGTTTTTACCATTAATAAATGATTGTATTGGTTTGAAAAAGATTAAACCCTTTACATTAAGTGTTTAAAATAAGTAACTCTTCCACGTTAACTAAGTATGTACATGCATTTTATTTATTCAAGAAATATTTATTGAGGGCTACTATCTGTCAGCCACCATTCCTGGTGCTGCAAATGCAGTATTGAACAACTTCTTCCCCTTATGGAGCATACATTCTAGTGACACATTCTCCTAATTATCCTTTCTCTCTAGCCTACAAACATATTTAGATCTCTTCTAGTCTTCTAGAATGGTCTTTCCAAAATGGAAATGTAATCCTGCCAGTTCTTGGACTTAGATTCGCCTTTGCCCACATTTCTCAGTATAATACCCCAAAGCCTTCCTTAGGCCTCGTCTCTCTGTACCCTACAGCCCAGCCTCATTGGTGTTACTCGTTCATCTCTGAAGAGATCCTAAACGTCCACAACTCTGTCTTGGTCCAGTAGTTCTCTGGAATCAGATCTTGGTCTTAATCTGTCTTCTCCTATCTGTCAAGAGCCCTTTCAAATCTCTCTTCTCAGAAGTCCTACCAGATCCTGCTGTCAATACGCCATCTGTCCCTTCTCTGTAGTTACACAGGACCGTTCATTCATTCATGCAGTGATGCAGCAAACATTTCTTGACATCCAGCATGTCTCGGGCACTGGATATAAAGAGATAAAGATATAATCTTCCCTCTCCACGAGTTCACAGTCTAGTTAGGGAGACAGGCAGGTAAACCAGTGATTAAGTGCTAATATCATAAGTGCTATTAATAATAGGCACAGCACCAAAGGAGATGAGAAGGGGGCATTTAGGGCTGGCCCGGTGGCGCACTGCTACAGTGCGCCTCTTGGGAAGCGCGGCGGCGCTCCCGCCGAGGGTTCGGATCCCACATACAGACCTGTTCCCGCTCACTGGCTGAGCGAGGCGCGGGAGCAACACCGAGGGTTGCGATCCCGTTGCTGGTCCCGGTCCGGTACGGGGGCGACACTGAGGGTTGCGATCCGTTGCCGGACACGGAAAAAGACAAAAAAAAAAAAAAGGAGAAGGGGACATTTAACTCAAGGGCTGGGAGGGACAGGACAGCTTCCTGGAGGTTGGTAGATGGATGGGTTGGTTTGAGTTATACATAGATTTTAAACCACTGTGGCGCTTTTTTTTTTTTTTTTTTTTTTTTTTGGCAGCTGGCTGGTATGGGGATCTGAACCCTTGACATTGGTGTTACAACACTGTGCTCTAACCAACTGAGCTAACCAGCCAGCCCCTGTGGTTCTTCTTAAAGTCAGCTTGACCAGAGTAAGTTTTTTTAAATGTACATTTTTCCTGGGCTGGTCAGTTAGCTCACTTCGTTAGAGGGTAATACTGATAATGCCAAGGTCAAGGGTTCAGATCCTCATACCAACCAGCTCCCCCTCCCCCAAAAGATAAATTGAAAATGTACATTTTTCCACTTCTCCCAACTAGATTGTAAGCCCCAGGAAGACAGAAGTGTAATTGTCATTTCTGTGTCCCCTGGCCCCGTGCTTGTTGAGTACAGTGGAACCAAGGTGAAATATACATTCTTTTTTTTTTGGCGGCTGGCTGGTGCAGGGACCCAAACCCTTGACCTTGGTGTTATCAGCATCACATTCTAAACAAGTGAGCTAACCAACCAGCCCTAAAGGTCAGGTTTTACACAAGAACTTAATGACACCTTCACACAGTTTGATTCTTACACATTTTGATGTTATTATCTCTTCTTTCTGTATCTATACGTAAAATCTTAAGGGGTAAAATGTTATGTGTCAACATTGGGGGTCTTGAAAACCTATGCCCTGCTCAGAGGAGCAGTATGAAAAGAATCTCTTATGAGATTTAGGATATCTATTCTTTTGCTCATCTTAGAACACAGACCTACTTTGAAATTATGTTAAATGAAATATCAGTGAAAAATACAGTTTACTATAAGTAATTAGAATTTTAAAAGGTCAGGTTTTAATTGGATTTCAGAGATGGACAACAGTGACTTACATTTTTGTTTTTATTCTCTATGTTTCTAGTATTCATATTTACTGACAAGCCAGTTGGAATCTCAGCGAATCTACTGGGAAAACAAGATAGTTCGGATAGAGAAGGACACAGCAGAGGAAGTAAGTCTCTGGTTTGGTGACTGCTGAAATGCCACGTGGCAGGGCAGTCTGAGGGTGGAGTGGGGGAAGACACAGTACAGGGAAAAAGGAATCTTAGAATCTTCCTTTGTTAGTCTGAAAACAGGTAGAAAACTGTTTTGCCTCTAAAAAGAAACCTTGGATTTAAAGGCTTGAATGTTTTGGTATTGGGGGATCTTAGGGGTGTGTGTGTGTGTGTGTGTGTGTGTGTGTGTGTGTGTGTGTGTGTGTGTGTGTGTTAACATCAATCAGGTTTTCTAGGGCCTTGTACACGTCCATTAAAAAAACAGAAGTGTATACATGAGGGTTTGTAATTTGAGTCAGCCAGTCAGTTTGTCAACAGCTGCTTTTGGGAGCTGAGTGTGGACTTCTGAAGCAACAAGATGGTGCTGAGCCCTTCTAAATTGAAGGAAATAAAATTGGGCAGAGATGTTGGAGCTTCAGGGTGTTGGAACTTCAGTGGTCATCCTCGTGCTTTACTGTCTAGGGCAGTAGTTTTCAAATTTTAACAAAATAATCCTTTAAAGAAGATGCCATTCACTGCTGCCGTATTTAAAAGAGTAAAGTGCTGTGATTTTGGTGGAAATCCGGATAGAGGGCCTAGAGCTCTACCTGCTTAGTTTTCCCCTTGTCTCCAACATGTACAAGGAACCCTGAAGGTTCCAAAGAAGGTAGCTTGAAAACCAGTGAGCACCTGAGGGTTTCTGTATAATTAGGGTTCTAGGAACTGTTCTTTGGATCTAGGGACAGTGTGTATAATTTGGTGATTCCCTTAGTGTTAAATAAAGACTTTTAAAGTTTCTAAATGATTGCTTTAGTAACTTTGGTGAGGTGGGGCCTACAGAGCCAGGCCTGGAGCCCACCTCTTTGGTGGCTAGCATTATCCTGGAGCTTAGCATGCAGGCCCCAGGCTCTCACTTTATGCCAGGCCCATGGGCCCCAGCTTCGGGGTATGCCTATAAATGGAGGAAATTAGTTTTTGTTTTTAACTAATGCTTAACTCCTTAACCCCAGCTTTAAAATGATCTTTAATTAAAAGGTATTGATGAAATTCTCACAAGAACTTTCCAAGTAATGGAAGTGCCTTTCCAGAGGCACTGGAGGTCACTTGACTTAGTAGTTCTGAAAAGGGCTTGATTGGAGTACATGTGGGGAAGGATGTGCCTCCCAAAGCACTCAGTGGAGGCAGAGTATGGGTTACTGCCACTTGGTGTCAAGTTATGGACTGTTGGGGAGGTGCATTGGCAGCTCTGCTACAGCCTCACTAATGGGTTTTTCGACAGGATCTATCAGTGTGACCAACTGAACTGCTTCGTGCAGACCCTTGAGAGCTAAGCTCAGGATTCTCTCTGCCCTTTAAGATTCTTTTGGATTAACTGCATTACCTGAGATGTGCCAATGAAAAGCAAGTCAAGTGGCAGGGATATGAAAAACTGTGAAACTCAAGTTTACTTTTAAGATGGAGGCAAGGGCAGCTGTAAATAAAAAGCTGCAAGTGCTTGAAAGGATGCTTTGGTTTTCTAATAACAAATGTCATTTATCCATAAGTTAATGGATGATGCAAGCCTTTCGTCCTTCCATTGTTCTCCTTTAACCAATCCTCTGTCCATTGGCACCCCCAGCAATAGAACACATGCAGGGAGAAACTGTCACCTGACTGAGATTGTTTGTGGGCCTAATAAAAATTTAATGTGGAGGAAGGGAGGGTATCAAGGTTGAAGAAATTCATTGTGGACTTCAAATATAAATACCATTTTTCCCCCAGTGCCTTAGGTACTACAAGTATTATAGCATGTGAGCTGAGTCTGTTCTAGAAAATGAAGCTCATATGCATTTGAAGGTTTTTAGTTTTCATGGGGCCATGTATGAAGAACCCCTAGTGGGCAGTCAGTATAGGCGAATTCCCCTTAAAGATACCTCTTTTCTCTTTGGACCTCTAGCTCTATTTAAACCAGTATTTTTCCAGCTGTGCATTGTGGAGTTAGTTTGGTGGACCACAGCTGGCATTGTTTTTTTTTTTTTTTTTTTTTT